TCAGATAGAATATTCAAATTAAATTCAGGAGCTATAATAAATGTACATAAACTTAATGAGTCTTATTAATTTATACATTGATAAGAATCTTCTATTTAGCATAAATTAGAACATCCATCTCCTCCATAATTATTTCCATCATCACATTCTTCATATTAATTGATCATTATCCCATTTCCACATTGATTAATACATACATGATCAATTAACAATTGATTTTCTCCACATCTTAAATATGTTTAATAAGCCAGTTACTTTTAAATTAATTCTTCCTAATCATAATCATTTTAATTTTATATCAAACATTTTGCTGTTTAAATATCCAATTTATATTAATAATCACATTTCTTACATTACTCTTAATAACATTCAATACAGCCTTCTGAACATTAAAATAAACACTAATAGCAACCATCAAATGGTTTATCATTTCCATCATCACATTCCTCATATGGATCAATGACAATACCATCTCCACATTAAGTAATACAAATGTTATATTAATTAAGAACCCATCCTGGTTTTATGCAAGCTTAACAAATCCCATTTTTACATTCAGTACATTATTCTTCACATGAAAATTTGCATTAATAACATCCATCATATGGAATCAGATTCCCATCATCACATTCTTCAGTACCTAATACTAATTAATCTCCACATATTGTAGTGCATCTATTAATATTAAGTTCCCATCCTTCAACATTACACTCTCTACATTATCCTTTTTCATATAAAGAACATTGTTCTTAAAGATGAAGCTAGCAATAATTACATCCATCGTCATCATTTTCGTTTCCATCATCACATTATTCATTACCTAAAATTAGTTAATCTCCACAAATAGGTTAACAGTTTCTATTAAGAACACTCAATTGCCATCCTATTGAAATACATTAAAAACATTCTCCATTAACACATGTTGTACATTATTCTTAACATACTAATTTACAATTTATGCATATTTATTCAGAAATGAAATTATCATTATCACATTATTCATCATGTGATACAATTCCATCTCCACAAATACTATAACAAGTATTTTTTTATTAATCTAAGTGATAACCAATTTAACATTAAGTACATATACCACTTTCACAAGTATGACAATAGTAATTACATGAAAATTAACATAAATGACATCCATCATATGGAATTTAATTCCCATCATCACATTATTGATTTTTTGATAATTATCCATCTCCACATAATGATATGCATTAATTATTATAAGGATCTAATTAATTTGATTCCATATTACATTTTATACATTAACCCTGATAACAATTTTCACAATCTCTAGGACAATCAAAATAACCATTAAAACAACCATCTTCTGCTATTAAATTCATATCATCACATTGTTCATAACCTGTAATTTATCCATCATTCAAAATTTCAATGCATTTCCCAATTTAATTTTTATATCCATCTTAACATTTGATACATTCTCCAAATTTGCATATCATACATGATTCCTAACATTAATATTTGGAAAGATAACAACCATCATACATTATTGAATTATAATCATTACATTATTCATTACCTACAACTAAATAATCTCCATAATATGGTTGACATTTCTTATCAAAATTTATAAGCCATCCTATCTAGCATTGTAGACAATCTCCTTTGTAACAAATTAAGCAAGAGTCTTAACAATTATATTTACATTAAAAACAGTTTTCATCTATATAGTCATCACATTCTTCAAAATATTATACAATAATTCCATCTCCACAGATTGTTTCACATTTATTTTATAGTTCATCCAATCTCCATCCCTTAGTATTACATTCTAAACACCCATTTGAAGTGCATAAAGTACATGATTATTAACAACTGAATTAACATTAATAGCATCCATCTTCTAATTAGTTATTTCCATCTTCACAAACTTTTTATTAATTTACTTATAATACGCTATCTCCACAAATTTTAACACATTAAAATAATGAATAATCCCATTTATAACCTTAAATACAAGATATACAAACTCCTTTATGACATGATTAACAATTGATTTCACATTCAATTTAACATGAATTACAAAGACTATCAGGATCATTATCATCACATTCTTCATTTTCAAGAACTATTATATTGTCTCCACAAATACTCTTGCAAGATCCATCTAATTATAAATACCAACCACTTAATTCATTGCATTATTAACAAATACCATATTAACAATCTAAGCAATGGATTGAGCATTAAAATTAACAATTGTAACAACCATCAAATGGTACTTGATTTCCATCTTCACATTATTCAGAAAATACTAATAGTTCATCCTAACATTATGGAATACATATGTTCTTTATTAATCGATAACCTTTTTAACACATTACACATAAAGAATTGACACAAGTATGACAAAATTGATTACAAGAAAATTAACATTAATGACATCCATCTAATGGGTTATAATTTGCATCATCACACATTTCTGTTAATTTAGTAACAATCCCATCCCCACAAATGGAATTACATGTTCCATCAATTTACATGTACCATCCTCTATCCTCATCACATTAAACACAACTTCCAAAATGACAATCTATACAGTTAGGAGAACATTCATATTAACAATTAATGCAATTTATTTTTTCTTCATTACATTGTTAAAGTAATGTAATTGTATTTCCTAAACAAATAGAGCGACAGTCATTATTATAAACTTCATATCCACTTTTACATTAATAACACTTTCCATTTAAGCAAATATCACATGCAAAATTACAACTAAATTTACAATTATGACAACCATCAAATGGATTATTATTTCCATCATCGCAATCTTCTTCTTATACTATTATTAAATCTCCACATATAGGAATACATGGTAAATTTATTCCATCATCATAATATCCAGGCAAACATAAACATTAATGTCTATGAATACCTCTATGATAATCTCTTACACAAGTAATACAATCCTATTATGAATTACCACAGCAATTTTCACAATATTTATTGCATTAAATACAAGCATTTCCCTATTAAAATGTAAATGGATTGCATAAACAAATTCCATTACTCAAATAAAATTAATTATTAACACATTAAGTGCAATCTTCTAAACTTTTACATTGACTACATCCAGGTTAATTACAATCTTTGCAACTATAAGTTTCAGTAGTTGAATTAAAATCCAAAAATTAATTACTTCCACAATTTGAACCAGTATAACCTCCATCTTAACATTCAGTTAAACTTGTACAGCTAGAACAAAAAGGAGGACACTAGATTATAATAATAAAGATTATACATAATGAATAACAATGAAATATTCAGATATTGCACAAAATTCTTTTGTGATATTTGCAGTATCAACATCGCATTTAAATTCAATATAAAGATTGTTAGTATAAAAGTTTGTTAGACTTACATTAAAGTATCGAATGCTTTCAAGACCAGTACGACCAATAAAATTATATCCTCCACCTGGATTACTAAAAGGTCCTTACCATGTATTACTTGAAGAATCACCTATCAAATATGAAAATGTTCCAGTGTAACCATCTCCATAAGTTAAATTAAAATATATAGATACTGCATAATGAGGTTATTAAATAACCCATGTTTTGATATATGAACCATCATTCCATACTAATAAACCACCCAAAACTATTTTATTATTTAAAAAAGAAAATTTTTATTTTGTTGATAAACTAAAGGATGGATCTGTTGTAGTATCATAAAATGATTGTATTTCATCAAGTGTCATATTTAAATCATAAAATCCTTTTGCTAAGTATCTAGAATCTACAGATAAATTAATAATAATATTATACATGGAATGATATCTTCATAGTCAATACAATTTGATGAATAAATGGGACAAATTGGAACACATTTATTTTTATATATTATATATGGTGGAACACACTATGCACAAGTTGAAAAATCTGAACATACTAAGCAATGTTCTTAACAAAATCCTGTGTCTATTGTTATATTTTTAAATCCCCAAGATTCACTTTCTTATTGAAGTGATCCCTAAATTAAAAGAGTTATATTAGGATTATTGAGTTAAAAAGTCGTCTCTATCCTTAACAAAGTATAACTCATACTATAACAATTTTGATTCCTCTAAAAAATTTTCAACATATTTTCAACATTGAAATTCGATAAAGTTTTAATTATTCTAGATTGAATTTAATTATTTTGTAAGATTTCAATGTTGCTTGTCTCTTAAAAGTTAAACAAATAAAATGTAATACGAATTCTTAAAAATTTAACAGTATTTTCAAGATTCATTTAATATAGCATTCCTTCATTAAATTACAATTTTCCAATAAAATCAATTCCAAGGCAATCCTCATATATCAAATCTGTATTTTTTGTATTAAATTCATCTTTTACAAATATAAAAGGAAAATATCTTTGATTTGATTGAGGGATGCTGTTAGCTTCGAATAAAGTAAATTTTGATTATATTCTATTATCATTCACACATATTTTATCATAACGTGCTATAGAATAATCTCTACTACATTCTTGCCTACAACCTATATATGTTTCAGAAAATTGGTCATCAGAATAGCAAAAACATTTCCCACCTTAGACAATTTGACTGTTAAAACAAGATAAACAATCTGTTTCATTAGGACCATTACAAGTTAAACAAGTTGGATGACAAGTATTGACATATATCAATAAATTTCTAATCCCTACCTACATAATACTATTTTCAGGAGAAAAACAAAATTTTATTGTAAATTCGTCAGTGTTAGAATTAGCAATAGTACTTACAATAGTATAGAATTCAAAAAGGTTTTAACTACTTTGACATATTTGAGCACTGTTCTAAATTAAATCATTAACTTAATAATCTCTTCTATATAGTAGCTAATCAGTTTCTGAGACTTTATTGCTATCATAATTAACTATTAAGTTTGAAATATTATCATCATCATCAGCACCATCAAAATAAACATCAAAAATAATTTGAGCTTGAAAACTTTTATAACTATATGATTTGAATAAATATCGTCCATTTTGGTTTAAACTCAAAAACTAACGTGAATTTTCACTACAAGTTGAGTATTAAAATATAACTTCAAATGGAAATAAACAGCTTTGATATATTTTCCAATTATTGCTTACCATTTGCATGTCTGTAAAACTCTAATCAATGAGTCTCCAGCTAGCTAAAACCTGATTTATAAGAATTATCAAATAACCACTAGTGATATAATGAAAAAACATAAAATGATTCTATGATGTAAATAAAAATTCAAATTAAAAGTCTTATTAATACGTAATCATTTGAATCTACATCATAATTATGACTAAATTATTAATTTCGATATCAAAATCATGTTTGATTGTATATGTATTATGTTGGCAAGAAGACATAGAATTTGGAATTTAAAACTATTCTGAACAATAATAAAAATATATTCTCCAAATCCATGATTAAATTGTATAATGTTAAAATTCATTTCAATAATTTTCTCCATATTATTCTTTATATAATACTACATTATACTTATTTGCAACTATTTCTGGATAAAGCAAATGTTTACTAAAATTTTGATATTTTCTCTTTTAAATTAAGAATTCCAAGACTAATTATTGATTATTTCCACAAGTTGCTTTTTAGATTTATAATGTTTCTAATAATAAATAAATAAAAGACTAGAATCTATAAATACTTCCATATAGAAATATTTATATAAAAAATCAATAATAAAGTATTATATTAAATTATTTAATTAAAACAAAATGAAACTATAATTCTTTTTTTTCTTTAACTAAATGTATAATATAAAAATAAAATATTATTAAAAATTCCTTCATTGTTTATAAAAGAAAACATAAAAATAATGAATTATAATAATCAAAGAGAACTATTATACTAGCTAATGATCAGGATTATAATTGTCATCAAATTTATCTATGATCAGCATGGATCAAAAACAAACTTTGATTGTAAAAATATTTGAGTTTGAATATGCTTAATTAAAATAAAATTATAATACTTATAATATTTACTAATGTAATTTAGTTGATATTAATTACTATTTTAGAATAAATGATCTTCATCTTAATCTAAAATAAGGTTTTTTATCACATCCTAAATTTTGTATATATTGTATTAGATTTAATATTCAAAATATCTATCATTATTTAAACTTTTAAAATTTTAGTTTTTACTTTGGTAACTTCATACTCTAAATACTTTAAGCTAAAATGATTTTTCTAAATTTTCTATCAGTTCTAAGGTTCTTTATAGAAATAATTTTATTTTATCAAAATCTGATCTCCTCATAAACTTTATTCATCTAGTCTTTAATTTCATATTACATATTTGATTTAGCCAATCAAAAAAACTATAATATTTGATATGTATAATCATTAAATAAGTATAAAATATAAATAACAATTTTATATTATTACGCTGTTACTTCATCAATATTATAATTATGTTTTTATTGGGTTAAACCGAAAGTGGATTAAATGACCATACATTTATCAATTTTCCTAAAATAATTGATGGTCATATCAAATAATACAATAATAATAATTTTGTTAACTTAGCTCATTGTCTAGAATAACTTTCTAATCCAAAATAATTTAGAAAAGGGAGTGGTTTGATTTATTTTCTATATAATATACCAGTTCCTTTAATTTTACTAGTTTTAATCAAAAATAGTTTACTAAATTTAAAATTTATGAATAATATATGCTTAATCATAAAAGGAAATTTGCTGGTTTTTGAATATTGGATTTTTATAATTTAATATCTCTTGGACTAATATAATTGCAAGATTAATTGTAATATTTTTAATAATTAAAAAATATTCACTCCAATCTTTATCCAGTTAATAACATCGACTAGCCTTGTATATCTGTGCTTAGTAATTTTTGTTGATAATTATGGATTGAATTAATAGTGGTTTGAATAGCACTAAATATATTTTAAATAGATACGGTCTATTTTTAATTTATATTTTTGAAACAATCATAAGGAATCTTCTTAATTTTAAGAAATTATCTTTGATTCTTTATTCTTTTTTATATTTTTACTACAATATTACTTCGAATTTTTTTGATACATATTACAATCTGAAGTATTTGAAAATTGAATATAAATATTTCAAAATGAATAGTTTATATTTTTTGTAATATATCTTTACTATGCTATCAATAAATGGAAATGTAATCATTAAAAACAATACCATTAAACAAATTTAAAGAGCTAGGGATATAACTATATTATTTAATTATTCACTCTCATATTTTATAGCAGACAAAAATATTGATACTGAACAAATTTAACCTGTTTACAAATCAAACTTATTAAATTTTGTAATCATGTAAGGCTTTTTCTTAATTGCTAATAATTGATAAATAATCAGACTCAATCCAATTAAGGATGCTTTCAAATGTATTTTTGTCTCAAAATATGTCAAAATTAGTATCATGATAGCTCTTTTACTCAATTTTATTTATTCCCAATAATAACTCTCTTTTTCATATTCATTATAAAGATAACATATGTGAGGTCTAAAGATATAATTATCCAATCCATTTCTATGAAAATACATTAATAAAAATAATGATAGAGGAATCAAACAGCCAAAAATAATTAATCCAGGAAGAACTAAATAAACAATCCATTAATGATGAGTTTCTGTATTAAATTTTAATGTTAAATCTCCTGATATATATTAAAATGTAGATATTTCTCTATATGAAACCAAAGAGCATAACCTAATTTAATATAAATAGTTTACATTTTGATAAATCCTGCATAATTAAATATATATAAACAAAGTAAAGTATTTGATATTTAATTTAATTTAAATTTTGATTTAATGAGAATTGAAAATATAACCAATCCAAAAATTATAATCATAAATTGCATTAAAATCAATATCAAAATGAGTATAATTTTTGAATATATTAATTAAATATCTACTATTTCAGATAAATAACAATCTAAATTATTAGCCATTGAATAAGATTAATTACTGGCTTAATCAACAAAATTGAACTAAAAAGAAAAGCTAATATTTAATGTGAATATCACTGAAAAGATCCATAAATAATTTATAAGCATTTTTATTAGAATACCTTCAAGATCTACAATATTTAAATAGTATACCTTAATTTAATTTAAAAAGGATTTAATTAAAACTTCCTTATATTTTATATAATAAGAATAGATCATTTGATTTTCCAATACTTTTTAAAGTAAGAATTATTGAAAGTATGGCCCTAGAATTAATTATAAATTTACCAGGCTGTATTTAAAATAAAAGGAATAATGCTATTTTGATTTCCAAAACAAAGAAAACATTCAGAATTTTATTAATTTTTTATGAATTTTCCATTTCCTTTAACATTATAAATATCACATTCTTCACACAAGGCACCAACATGTCCTTCACTACAAATTGCATCTCCAACATTCCAACCTCCTAAGCAAAATTTTGTTCTTTTAAAACATAAAGTAGATTAATCTGATAAATAATTTGGTCTCCAATAACCTTCTAGTAACTTAATTTAATTTGAAGTTATCTCTTAAAATTTCTCTTTATCAAATATAGAACATTTAATTGAATCATATGTTACAGAATAAAATCCTTGATTTGATTCACATATTTAACATCTATTATCAACATAGAATTCTCCAAGTTAGCATTTATAACTTTTGGCTTAGATGATATATTTTAAAGGATTTTTATATTCTTAAGTTTAACAAATAATACTTATTTCTAAATACTTGTAATCTTTATTATATGGATCTATTGTAATAGAAATGGAACTTAAATCAAAATTGTTTTTTTCATGATTATAAAATAATTATTAATTTTGGCTAATTCCATCAATTTTTACTTCGTTCTTTTTCACAATATTTTCATTTATAGAGCAAGTTGAATTATTTAGGTTTTTCTGTTATTCATTTAAATTATTTTTAAATATCAGTTCTATAGACTTAATCTGTTTATAGTTCTATGATATTTTAGGAATAGAAAGTTAGAAATCCTAAATTGATCGGCCACTTGGTATTTTTAAATAATAAGTTTTTATTTTAACTTCTTATTCTATAGTGAAATAAGGAAAAATCCTTAAAATATTTGTTTAAGTTTATTCAGATTTGTATTTATCTACTTGCATTTCTAAGGAATTTATAATCAATGATAAATGTGTAGGACTTTCAACTAAATTATTAGCATAATCATAAGCTTAATTAAAAAGCAAATATGTTTTAATAAAATTATTTTAATTCAAATTACTGTTTCCACTTAAATATATTCCTCCACCTTCTTTTGCTTGATTCAAAATAATAATCGAATTTAGAATGTGAAATTAATTACTATTAAGTTGTAAATAAATGCCTCCTCCTCTTATGATAGCTTTATTTTATATAATATTACAATATTTAATAATGATTGGGCTATTTGATGATATTGCAATACCTTAACTTCCACTATTTTAAATAAAATTGGAGCTTAATAATTTAATTGGTAAAGATTTTTAATTTTCATCTAAAATTTTTAAGCATCCATATTATTTGATAATATTGAAATTACAATTTAGTTCTTATATTTTGATCTTGTAGAAAGTTAGTAAATTAAATAAAATTAATCCATTATTGCAATGTTTACAATCATTTTGTACTATTTCTAATTGATTAAAATAAAAAGAATGCTTTTTTGATAGACTTTAAATATAAATTAATGAAGGTAAAATTTATGTATGTTTTTCCAATGTATTAAGAATCTCATCTAAAAAATAAAATGGTTAATTCTCTGATCCTTTTGTTGTTTAATTAGCAACTACAACACATAAATTAAATAGAAAATTGAAGTCTGATAATATTATCTTTTGAAGATCTGCTTGATATGTTGAACTATTGAAAATATTAATTTAATGCAACACTACCTCTGATTATATATCTATTATTTAATTAATAATTATCAAATTAAAAGCAAAAAATCTTTATAAGTATTTGATTTATAGTTTTGAGAGTATTAATTTTGGTGTATTTACAATATTCAAAATTGGTGATAAATATAGACCTTCTAAACTAATATTAATTATTAATATTGAACAACTTTCAGCATAAAATAATGAATTTTAGCTACTTGAAATATCTAATAGTTCTGTAAAGCTTATATTTCCTATTTAAGAAAATAATGATATCCATGAATCCATATTTTATGTTATTATGATATTACGTATTTCTAAATTATTTTTATCTATGATTTTGTTTGAGAATTGCACTATAAGTATTTGATTCATTAAAGATAGACAATCATAAATTTAAATATCAGTTAAATTAATCATATTTGAAATCTTAGATGGTTATATTGATAAAATAGATGAAGACATTCTATTAAANGTTTAAGTTTATTCAGATTTGTATTTATCTACTTGCATTTCTAAGGAATTTATAATCAATGATAAATGTGTAGGACTTTCAACTAAATTATTAGCATAATCATAAGCTTAATTAAAAAGCAAATATGTTTTAATAAAATTATTTTAATTCAAATTACTGTTTCCACTTAAATATATTCCTCCACCTTCTTTTGCTTGATTCAAAATAATAATCGAATTTAGAATGTGAAATTAATTACTATTAAGTTGTAAATAAATGCCTCCTCCTCTTATGATAGCTTTATTTTATATAATATTACAATATTTAATAATGATTGGGCTATTTGATGATATTGCAATACCTTAACTTCCACTATTTTAAATAAAATTGGAGCTTAATAATTTAATTGGTAAAGATTTTTAATTTTCATCTAAAATTTTTAAGCATCCATATTATTTGATAATATTGAAATTACAATTTAGTTCTTATATTTTGATCTTGTAGAAAGTTAGTAAATTAAATAAAATTAATCCATTATTGCAATGTTTACAATCATTTTGTACTATTTCTAATTGATTAAAATAAAAAGAATGCTTTTTTGATAGACTTTAAATATAAATTAATGAAGGTAAAATTTATGTATGTTTTTCCAATGTATTAAGAATCTCATCTAAAAAATAAAATGGTTAATTCTCTGATCCTTTTGTTGTTTAATTAGCAACTACAACACATAAATTAAATAGAAAATTGAAGTCTGATAATATTATCTTTTGAAGATCTGCTTGATATGTTGAACTATTGAAAATATTAATTTAATGCAACACTACCTCTGATTATATATCTATTATTTAATTAATAATTATCAAATTAAAAGCAAAAAATCTTTATAAGTATTTGATTTATAGTTTTGAGAGTATTAATTTTGGTGTATTTACAATATTCAAAATTGGTGATAAATATAGACCTTCTAAACTAATATTAATTATTAATATTGAACAACTTTCAGCATAAAATAATGAATTTTAGCTACTTGAAATATCTAATAGTTCTGTAAAGCTTATATTTCCTATTTAAGAAAATAATGATATCCATGAATCCATATTTTATGTTATTATGATATTACGTATTTCTAAATTATTTTTATCTATGATTTTGTTTGAGAATTGCACTATAAGTATTTGATTCATTAAAGATAGACAATCATAAATTTAAATATCAGTTAAATTAATCATATTTGAAATCTTAGATGGTTATATTGATAAAATAGATGAAGACATTCTATTAAATATATTCTTAAACACCGATTGTTAAATTTTAATATCTAAAAGACTATTTTAAGAGTAGTGCTAATACAACCTGAACTATTAGATACTTATTTTAGATCACTTATTATATCATTAGCAATTATTTATATTAGTTTTATTATACCAAAATCTACTGTATTAATTTCAAAAATGGCACTCTTAGATGCTAGAATATTAGAAAATTTGCAATTTAAACAAGTAAACATGGATGTTGTTATTTAACCTACTCCTCCTATATTTGTTATATTAAAAGTTTAAAAAGCAAATTGATTGATTTGTTATTAATTAAGGAATTAATCCAATTTTACACCATAAAACCTTTCCCATAATTAATAAGTTAGTACATTGTGATTAGAAATTTGCAAATTTTATATAATTACAATTTTTGAATTGATATATACAAAAGAATTAGATGAATTTATAAATGCATTTTTTTCAGACAAAAAATTAGAGATTTAAATATTACTTGATTTCATATTTAAGAAAAGTAAAGAAGCATAAGATTACAAAAAACTCTCTGATAAAGAGTGAAAACAATTTTCCAAAAATTTAATTCTATTTACTTTAACATCAATACTCCATTCTGTATTTAGAGCTAAAAGTGAAATAGATCTAGGGGATTCTTTAAATATTTATAAGTTTCCAATAAAAATAAGATTAGTAATTTCTAATTATGAAAAATTAGTGAATTCTTTTTTCTATTATAAATCAATAAAAGATTCATCAATAGTAAATTAATTGATAATTTAAACAGAAATAATCGTTAAAATAAAGAAATTCTCTATTTTTAATAGTTGGTTTTTCTCATTAATTTTATTTTGACAATAATATGAAAATGGCAGTTAATAAATTTATGCAGAATTTTCATAAATTATATTTGAAAATATTATATCATTACCTTCAAATATGTTAAAAACGTATATATTTTTAAGGTTACGAAAAATTAAATCTTAAATCTTTAATTTAAAACATCTAATTTTAAAGAGATATTATTTATTATCTGAATTATTAACACTTGTTATTTCATTAAACACTAAATTACTAATCACTAAATCAATTTTGCATGATTCTTAATTAGTTTATACTTTCAAGAATTTAGAATTCTATAATTAATTGTCTTAAGCCTCAAATTAATCTATAAGTACAAAAATTGATATATTTTCATTCTTTTCAATTATAAAAATAAATTGTGATTCTAAAAACTAGTTTTTTATGATTTAAATATATGAAAATGATAAATTATAATTAGAAGTAAAAAAATTAGATGATATTAATGTATTTTATTGAAATTAAAAGTTAATTAAGGAAAGTGAAACATAATTGTTACAATTTAATAGACTTGAGTTTATAAAATTGCTCTACTTAATTGTGACATTATCAAAATCTAATTTACTTAATTGTTAAATATTGGAATCAATAACATAAATATAGGAATTTTTGAATGAACATTCTTCTATAAGAAGATGTTTAACAGATAAAACAACTTTATTATTAATAAATGAAAAGATATTTGAATTATAAAAAGTACAATTTCGAATAGTAAAGTTTTCTATAATTACAATTCCTTAAATATAGAAATCTGTTAAATTAAAAAATGAAGAATTTTGAAAGTCTATGTTCTATAATTAAACATTTATCATTTTCACATCACCAAATAGTTAACTTTAAAAGATAGATTTAGTGTCTTTTATTTAAGTATCCAAAAAACTAACATTAAATAAATGTAATTCAGTCTTTGCATTATTATTTTAAATGTAAAAATAAAAGGTAAAGATGTTTCTAAAAATAATTTAATTAATTTCCAATTTATCAATATTATTCAAAGTAATAATATTAGTCATTTATAATATCATACCTTTTCTGCAACTCAAAATGAAATGAATGAATTTAAGTGAAAAGATTTTTGTTTTAAGTAAACTATCAATTTAAAAGTTAGGTAATACACATATTTCCTAAAGACTAGTATAAATAAATTAAATAATCAAACTATCAATGCCCAATTTATTGAAATACTCAATATTTATGTCTTATTACCACAAAATATCAAACCAATAGCAATAATTAATTTCTTTTTGATATAAAAACATTGATGAGCATGTTTAATCAAAACAATACTTTGCAATTTAATCATATGGATCTAAATAGATCTAAGGATCTTAAACCTATTTTAAACATTTTTTAGTATAAATGAAATTTTAATCATTTATTATAAAATTTTGCTGATAATTCTGAAACTTAAATAAATAATAAATACATTTATTTCATCATTTGTTCGTATTTAACAAACTGAACAAAGTTAGCTGCATTCAGAACATTTGCCATTTATTTAATCTCTAATAGGTTAATAGTATTAATTTAAAGGACATCTGTTACAATAATAACCTATATCATAATTATATTTGCAATTCAAACATGAAGGATCACAATATTTAGAACATTAATAAGAAGAGACAAGTTAATAACCCTCTATACATTCAACTATCATTTATTCAACAATTTAATCAAGTTTAGCTTGAAAGTAAAAAAAATTATTGGGTAGAAATTTCATCATGAAACTCTGAATTCTTTATATCCATCCATCTTTAAAAATTTAAACACCTTCAATCATAATTTTAACTCCCCATCCTTTATAATAATCAGCTAAATAACATCCTCCAGTTGTAATAGAAGTTATGTATCCAATCTGACAAATGATACATTTAATTTTGTATTCTGGAGATTAAATACATTATAAACAATATGGTTAATAATTTTGACAATTAATTATTTCTGGAGCCAAATTGAAATCATCAATTTATGATAATGTACAGACTTCTTAATCATGATAAATATAAGATCTTAAACAATTTTATATTTTTGGAGTATTAAATACACAGATTCCAGCATCAAAATCAAAAATATAATTTTATTCACATAATGCACATCCAATTTTGACTTCTTGATCTGAGTCAAAATTTTCAAAGTCATTGTAAAGAGTACATTTAGATAAATCATTTGTTTAATATTCAAAACAGTACTTACAATTAAGTATGGGACATAAATTGCATTTTCTTTAAAAAGTTTGGTAATATGGAGTCAAACAATCTAATTAATTAGAATCTCCATTAATTAAAGTACAATTACCATCAATCAATTAATAAGATTGATAACATGATATACAATAATAACCATAAATACTTTTTAAACTTTAATAACAACCAGGATATGTATCTAAAAATAAAAAATATTGTTATTCTAAAGTGATTTCATTATTTATATCATATTCATCAACAATAAAAGAGTATGAGCTATTGCATTTTTTACAATAAATCAAATCATTCTCATCAAAAAGAAAATAAATACTATAACCATACCATATATTAGTTTTAACATCACCATTTTAATTAAAGAATAAATCATTTTCACAATAGGGTTCTTTACTCCATTTACTAGGATTCTACAAACATTCTTAACAAGTGGCCACTTAATTATTAATAATAGAAGGACTAATATATTAATTAAATATAATTTACCAACGTATGCAAAGATTATCATATTCAAAATAACCATATTTACATTTAGTCATTATCTTTTTTACACTTGATAATTCTAATCCTGAATCTAAATAAGAAATACAAGACTCTTAATCAATAGTATTAAATGGACAAACACATGCTTTGTATTCATGTAAATAAATTCTTTATTTTGTACATGATAAGCAATTATTCTTTGATGGTCCATCACATTCTTAACAACTATAATGACAACTTTAATAAATATCATCTGTATCACAATTGTTAAATAAAAAGTTTCTAAATAAAATATTTAAGTAATTCATTTTCTATTATTAGATATTACCATATTAAAGTTTAAATTAAGTACAAGAAAATTATTTTACATACTCTTAAGTATTATATTCATAAATATTATAATCTTCATAAAATTTAATATTAATTATCAATTAGTCAGCAATAAGTTATATTGTTAACTTTTACCAAAGAGTTATACTATTTAAAATATCAAATTCTTTTTAAATTATTTAATGATCATTATCAGAATTATTAATTGTGACTGATGGAAATATATAACTATATGTTGTAACAATTATTTAATTGCTTAATGGAGAAATTTTGTATGATAAAGTAAATGGAGATAAGGATTTTTTGGATAATTAATTTTAGAAATTAGATGAAAGCATAAGGAATTGATAAATGAATTCATCTTAATTCTAAATAATATCAGTAATTTTCAACCATCCAGATAATAGGAATGAATTGCAATTAATATTCTCTGAAGTAAAAATTAAATTATCCAACTATTTCATAGAATTATCATTCAATCTTAATATTTTATTTAACTTACAATTGCAAATATTGAATGGTTCAAAAGCTATTCTTGCCAACTCTTCTTGATCATCATCTATTGAAATCTCACTATATTCATATTCAACTTTAATCAATTTACCAGGAAAATAAGAAAATCTTGTACCTGAAGAGATTGTTTAAATCTTTGATTATTTTACTATCATGCTACCTCCAAAAATCAACTTTAAATATTAATCTTTAAAAGGTTGTTTAATTTACAATTGCTTACGAATTGTTTTCTATTAATATATAAACAATAATTCAAATCTTTCTTAAAAAGGACATTATAAAATTTCAAAAAAATACCATATATTTTCATATTCAAAAGGATCTATATCTATTGTAAATGAATTTTGCATATCATTATTATCAATAAATGCAATTGTTTTAGAGATTTTCTTTAAAGAATCATCTATGCAATCATAATATATTAGATTAAGACTTAGGGATAATTCTTCAACTGCACTATGCAAATGGAAACAATTACTATCAAATAAACCTACATTTCCAACTTAAATAATGCTTGTTAAAGGATTATATTTTGACCATAATCCATATCTAAAAGCACTTGAGATTTGGGTATTTCCTTACAATATAATTGATTATTAACAATATTAATATAATGAATCCATTTCTTTAACTTCCAGACTACTTAAGTAATGAACAAATAAAAGCAGAAATAAGGACATATCTAAAATTTTAGTAATAATTTATTAATCAAAAATACTTATATTTCCTTGAAATTTTTGGATTACAAATCGATTATAAATCAATAGAGTATAATATAATTAATCCTATTAATAATTCTTTTTTGTCTTTTTTATAATAGATAAGGTCAACTCTAAATAAGTCACATTTTGACATATTTAGGACTACAATAAAATATTAAATTCAATATTTGAAAACTTTAATTTTAGCAAAGATTAATTGTATAAAATACATAATTATATAATTTTAAGAATTAATGAGATTTTTTTAAAAAAAAGAAATACAAAGGATGATGTTTAACAATAAAAAATATAAGAAAAAATTACACTTCCATTATTTAACTTATTTTTTTCTGTATACTTTACTGTACATCCATGAATAATTAATATTTATTCTTATTTTCTTAAAATTAAATTAAACTGTGACTTTTTAAAATTATTTTTTCAGTAAGCATTTCTTGCTCATCACATTCTTGAATATAAAAACAAATAAATTAAAACTTTGTTTGATTGTATTAAAGAGATTCGGAAAGCATCTTTAAATTCATTCAATAAATAATCAAATTTATGAACATAAAATAATTGGTCAGCTCCTATTTAAAATTATAATATAAAGCTTTGATTATTTATATTCATGATGAACATAAGCCATCAGATTCTTGCTTCTGAAAAAATATTAAAAGAACTACAAAAAAAATATTTTATTGCCGCACTTAAATAATTCAAAGATTTTTAAATTTAATTCTTATGGAACTTGTGGATATTAATCCTTTGCTTTGATTTAAAAGAAAGAAGGCTATTTTGAGTGATAGAGAACTAGTTGGTTCAGAGTGAATATTTTTATAAACATAATAATCATATTGCTAAAGGATGATCCTTTTTCTTTTAAAATGACACAGCATGGTCAAGAGAATTAATTATACTAATTAAATC